ATTTTCCTCAAATTTTTTGCTAATTATTTTCTAATGATTTTCTCACCAAGTTTCATAATAATTTTGGGTAGGCCCAATGAAATTCAAAAAACAAATTGTTGGTGTCATATAAGGACCTGTCATTCTTTTAGGAAGATTCCATAGATTCATAATCGATCACACTCTGGATAAAACTGTCTAAATTCCTATGCAAACACGCCCTACCACTCTAAATACGTGGAGTTCCTGGTTGGAGAAATCATATTTCAGATCCTGCAGTACCCAGTGATATTCTGAGCTGGTCCAGGTCATCATGTTTTCTTAAACATAACCGAACGTGCTGTCTCGAAGCGGAAAATCTAGGTTCTTCAATTCAGTTTGCAAAAGCTTTTCATTCCATACTATGGCCGTTTAACAGCGTTATCAATAAGTACAGCTATTATTGTCCCCGCATTTCGAAAAAAGCAGGGGACTATTAAAATAAGCCTGTCCGTTTGCCCATCCGCGGGTCACACCTTTTGGGAAACAATAACCTTCCTCCTAGAATGTAGGTGTTTACTAGGTGAATGTCTCGATGGAGTTCGAAGATCAACATTTCCTGCTTAGGCTAAGCAGAGATAAACAATTTGATTCGTTGATGCTTTTGATCACGAATATTTTGGTTCTAGTCAAGTGAGAGTGACGAAACTTGGTGTATAGTTTCATTACATCAATACCTTGCCTAAGTTCGATAATGAGCATTTTCTGCTCGGGGTAAAAGCAGAGCTATAAAAGATTTGTAACTCCATAATTTTGATTCTGATTAAGTGAGAGTAGTGAAACTTCGTGTATAGTTTCATTACATCAATACTGTGACTAATTTCGATAATGAGCCTTTTTTGCTTCGGCTAAGTAGAGACTTTAATCTGATTGGTGGAGACTTTGGAACACAATAACTCTCCTTCTAATTGAGGTGTCTACTGTCATATACTCCCTTTACTAAACCAACTTATTCATATTATTAAGGAATAGTGGTCTGAAGCCTTCTTGAGTTCTTTGTGTTAATAGAGTTACTTCCCTTGATTAATAAAAGGCTTTGATCTTAGATGGAATCCTGGGATGGAGTGAAATGGAAGATGGCTGTTTTTAATTAGCTCTTCTGTTTGTCATAAACAATCCAGGCCATCTTGTGGCCTATACACCCCAATACAACATGGTGGAGATGCCAAACTCCCATTTCTAGTATGTAGAATCTGAAGAACTAGTTTACAAGTGATATTTTTGAATTGTTACCAAGAATTGACTTGTGATGCGAGGAGCACATGTTTTGAGATTTGGACTCTAGTTTGTGGAGCATATTCTCCCATTCAACAGATATTTGGGAATCTACTTTATTCTGAGGAGTAAAATTTCATCAGAAGTAGACCTAGTGAGGCCTGATTAAACTCCATTTGTGTGAAATTAGTCGTTCAGCAGATATTTGGGAACCTTTATTTTCTGAGGACTACAAATTCACCAGACTTGAAATACTATAGTGAGGCCTGATTATAAACTCTATTATTACTTTGTGTGAAATTAAAATCTAAGCCTAGTCTAAATTGCTTATGTACAGATCCAGAGACATTTCAAATGATCCAAATGAATAATTAAATCCATAGACATGTAGGCCTACACTGTGTTATTAAGGCCTAATGGAAAATCTGTTTTGACATGAGTGTGCCAACTTTCCCATGTTAAAGTGTGGATGCCTAGGACTCTAACTAGCCTAGATCCAATTCATTCATACTCATAGTGACATAATTAATGTAGTATAGACTACAGTGTTGTACAGTGACAATCTTGGAATCAAGTTTGCTGTCTTGTGACTGTGTTGTGTAGCCTACAAGTGACATTATTTCAACTCAAGTTTGCTGTCTTGTGAACTTTTTTTTACTGAAGCCTGATGTATAAATCAATGACTTTTATCCCTAAAATTTGTAAAAGAGACAATATTTTTTTTTCTTAAAACAGAATTGTGAAAGAAGGCTTTAGAAATTTTAATTTTGGCTTATAAGTAAATTCAAATTTACAACTTTCAAATTAATTTGGCAATATTCCAGTCAATTTATAATATAAACGTTTTCTGATACCATATTTGTGTGAATTATGCTGAATGGTTGTGTGAATATGTTATTATTGTTTCATGATCTTGAATATTTAGATAATTTGTTTTGCTAATTGATGTTTTCCATGTTTACAAGATGCATTATTTCTTTCTTTATTGGTTAAACTTGTAGTCATCCTGATTTGCCTTACAATTATTTTGATAATAATAGTTGCTCATATAGTGAACGAATTAATCAAGGTCAATCATATTCAATGTTTGGACAAAATTGTAAACATCTTTTAACTATTTTGATTATTTTGTATACAATTACAATTATGGCTAACCGTCGGAACGAGGTTGTTGAACGCAAGAGACCTCTGTCATTTGATAGATTTGATGGGTCCGTATTAAATAGGGATCTGGCCACTGCCCATTTTTTATCTTTCGAAGATTACCTTGAGTACTCTGATGAGGAGATGAATCCTCAGACAGTTCTTGCTATCAATAAGATGATAAATCTTTTCAAACAGTCTTTAAAAGGAACCGCGAGATTGTGGATAGAGGAGAAAATATTTCGAAGTCGTGAAGATTTACGCACGCAGTTTATTAATAGATTCTCCGAAAATAAGTCTTCATTTGGTTTACACCAAGCCTATTCCTCATTCACTTACGACTCTTCTATCACTCCTGCGGAAAATGTAGAACGCTTGGAGAAATTAGCTACTCAACTTGGAGTAGGTCGCACCCAACTCAAACATAAATTTGTTTCAATCCTCCCTACAAACTGTCAACAAGTCGTTGCCATGTCAACAAATGACACAACTACTTTGAATGACATCACAACAAAAGTTCAGTGTTTCTTTGATATAAATAACCCTGACAAAACCGTAAATCCTAGTAAGGAGGTATCCTTCTATACGTCTGACACAGATGATCTTTCTTCATTACGAAAAGAATTAGATGAACTTAAGTTGCATGTAGCATCAGATGATCATGTCAGACACCGATCCAAACATCCAAATTATAGTCATTCGTCTTATGCTCGTGAGCAATCACTTTCACCCAGACGACGCCCTTATTCACCTAGTCCCAAATTGCATACAAACAACCCTGGAGTTCGATCAAGACGTGATTATTCTCGTTCACCTAGTCAGTATAGATCAAGCCAGGATTATTGTCGTTCACCTAGTCAACAGCGATATTCCTCGTACACAAATAAGCATTCTAAATATGACAATAATTCTAGCCAGTCAGCTGATAGACCTATATTTTGTGACTACTGCTTGAAACCAAATCATACATGGAGATCATGTTTTCTGCGTCAGAAACACCTTTCTGATAAAAGAGAACAACAGGATTTTCAATAGAGGGAATTTATTCTACTGCTCGGAATGAATTCCCTAAATCTAATCAAACCAAACCTATTCATTCTACTTCAGGTAAACAGAATCATTCTAGTTCTGTTTCTATTCAACTTTCAAAACGAAATTATTGCAAAGGAGAATTTTCAGATGGTAATTCAGCTTTATTATTAATTGATAGTGGTGCATCAAGGTCGATCATTTCGTCTTTACTTATTCAATCTTCACCCTATTTAAGTGGTTTGCCTGTTCATTTGTTGTCAAATCCACTTAGCTTTCGACTTGGTAATGGCAATCTACTATTGTGTAAATATTCTATTAAGTTTGATGTGCTTATTCAAAATGTAAAGTTTACCATTCAAGCTTTTATTGCTGCCGATTTAATCGGCATTAATATTATCATTGGTCAAGAAACTTTAGCTGATTTGAATGGAAGTCTTAGTTTTCGTGACAATGTATTTCATTGTAAAGCTACAACCATTCCATTTATAACCGCTCATAGTGTATATGTCAGACCTAAACATTGTCGTTACATCACTGTTCATGGTAAAGTTCCTCCTTTGTTTAGGAATCGTGAAGTTGTCATGTATTGTGGCAGTCATATTTCTGATATGTGTCCTTCAACAATTTTGGTTAAGCTGGAAGGAAATAAAGCCATTATACCAATTCATAACACAAGTGCTAAAACTTTGCATATCAGACCTACTCGACCAATTTCATTTATATCCCTTCAAGATATTGCAAGTTATGATAATATTAACTTCACTTCTGAGTATGATCAAAATAATGTTACATCATCAAGTAATATTAAATCTGTTTTCAAGTCACAAATTGATTTGTCCAAAAGTGTGCTTGATCTTTCTCAAAAAGACAAATTCTGCGATATGTTGTGTCAAAATCGGGAAGCTTTTAGTCTTCATGGTGAAATTGGAAAATGCCCTGACATACAAGTTGATATAGAAGTAAACGACAATCGCCCTTTCTACATTCGCCCTTATCCAAAAACAGAAGTTGAGAAAAAGATTGTGGATCAGGAATTAGAAAAGCTTGTCAAACTAGGAATTTTAGCTGTTGGTCACCAGTCGTATACATCACCAGTTCTCATTCTACCTAAGAAAGGTACTAAAGAAAAACGTGTTGTTGTTGATTTCAGGTATCTTAATTCTAAAATCAAACGTCTTAACCATCCATTTCCCCTATTATCTGACACCTTAAAGAGGATTGGTCATGCTAAACCTAATGTTATAAGTTGCTTAGATCTGAAGTCAGCATTCTTTTCACTTCCATTATCACCTAGAGCCCAACAATATACGGGTATTTCATCATATTCTGGAGGCAAACACTTTTACTTTAAACGGTTAACACAAGGCTTGAGTGTCTCACCAGCAGTTTTTCAATCTAAAATTGATGAAATATTATCAACAGTTCCTGGTAGTTATTCATTTTGTATAGCCCATCATGACGATATTATCTTATTCAGTAAAGACAACGAAGCTCACAAGAAGCATTTGCAGTTGATTTTCAGTGCCTTAATTCAAAATGGACTCAAAGTTACACCAAGAAAATGCTCATTTTTCTGTCATGAAGTGGTCTATATGGGTCATAAGATTGCGATTAATAAACAAGGTTTAGTCACACTGCAGCCTTTGTCTGATCGATGTCGCTCAATCCAAAATATCCCAAGACCTACGTCAAGTAAAGATGTAAGGAAATTCATAGGTGCTGTTAACTATGTTTCCAATTTTCTCCCATACTTACAGTCAGTTCTACAACCCTTGCATAAAATTTCCAGCAAGAAATCATCATTTAAATGGTCTGAAGCACAAGAGGAAGCATTCATTAAGGTTAAGTCACTACTTGTACACCCACCTGTTCTGTACATGCCTAATGATAGTGGTAGGATTACCCTTTATAGTGACACCTCAAGAACAGCTACAGGATCATATCTTACCCAAATTATTGATGGTGAAGAGAGAATTCGTGGATATTATTCAAAACGACTTCCTAAGGCATGCGAGCGCTATTCAGTCACAGAATTAGAATTATTTGGTCTTCTGATCAATATCTCTAATTTCCAATATCTACTTAGAGGAGTTGAATTTGATGCGTATGTTGATCATGCTGCCATTGTCCACCTCTGTAACTCCAAACGTCCACCTTGTACCAACAGATTACAGAAACTGTTAGTCAAACTTAGTCATTATGCCTTTAAGATTGGTTACAAAAAGGGCACAGAATTAGTCCTAGCTGATTTTCTCTCCCGAAGCCCACTCGAAAGTGATTCGGAGATCGACAGTGTTGTCCCTACAGCATTCGCTATTCTCAATCCAGTAACTAATAGACCTGTAACTCGTCAATGGGCCAAGACACATAACATTTCTGTACCAGCAGTTTTCCCTTCTGCCCAACATCAGACGGTATCACACAATTCAGTTGATACAGTTAATAATCAGCCTTCTGATGTTCGGTGTCACAGATCACATAAAATCCCGACAATTTCCCAATCTCCCAAACGATCTCATATCAGGATATCAAATGATAGTTCTATCAAAGCATCATCTACCACACAAGACCCAAGGATTGTGGATAATGCTTTTCAACCTGAATCTCCTGAAGAAATCGAGATACCAATTGAACTATGTATCCCACCTACACCTGTAGTTCATAATGCGGATAATGTTATTCGCACACATTTTCCTAAACAAGCTCAGCTAGATAAACTATTAAAAGTTATCAAGAAAAAGATAATCCGTGATTATAATTTACCTGTAGATAAAAATCAACTACGGTTAGAACAAGAAACTTCTCCATTCTTCAAACCTGTATATGATTTTCTCAGTCATGGTATTCTGCCTTCAAACCGTAAAGCAGCAAAATCAGTCAAACACAAAAGTGAAGAATATATTATATGTGATCATATTTTGTTTCGTCTTCTCATACATAATGATAATACATTTTCTCTTCAGCTTGCAATTCCAGAATCATTATGTCATAATATTATTGCTATATATCATGATAGTTTATTATCTAGTCATCAAGGTATTGTAAGGACATATCTCACAATTCGAAAGTTATTTTATTTCCCTATTATGTTTTCTACCATCTCATCATATATCACTAGTTGTCATAAATGTCAACAATTTAAAGGGAAAACAGACAATGTTCGGATGTATCATCCACGTATACCAACAGAGTATTGTACTTTTGATAAAATATGTTTAGATTTCAAATCTATGCCTGCATCACCAACAGGATTTAAACATATTATGGTAGTCTGTGATGAAATAACTCGTTTTCTTATCTGTATTCCCCTCAAAACATTAGATGCTGAGACTATTTGCGAAGCTATTATACAGAAGATTGTATGTATATTTGGTCCCCCATCAGTATTAATAACTGATGCTGCTTCATCGCTTACAGGAAAACTTGTCTCTATTCTTTGTTCTGCATTACAGATCGATCACAAACTTATCAGTGTATCTAATCATGGTAGTCTCATGGTGGAGAGACATATTAAGTCAATATCAGACTTACTCAAGTTCAATTTGAACCAATATGGTACCGACTGGGTTCGATATGTGTCAACTTGCACATATGCATACAATTCCTTTGTCTCCCCACAATTAGGAAATTTTAGTCCATACGAACTTGCCTTTGGTAAGCCACCAAAGAATCTTACTTCTTTAGCTTGGAATTTCGATGGAGTTAGTAAATCCTATGAGGAGTATTTAAGTCATTTAAAGCAAAAATTCAATGCTATATCATCTTCTATGCTTGATCTTCAACGTAGACAACAAGAACATCAAAATATAAGCATTTCTCATAGTATAAGTAAAAACCCTATTTATGGACTTGGACAATTTGTCTATGTATTAAAACCATCTTCTTCATCTCTTACTTGTAACTCTAGGAAGATGAAGGCTGAATGGTGTGGTCCCTTAGTGGTTCATCAAATCTTGGACAGAACGCATTATATACTTTCCACTTTGGACGGAAAGATATTACAAGATGTTTATTCTATAAATAGACTTAAACCATGCTTTGTTCGTTCTAATGAGCCAAATAAACGTCTAACTCATATTGATCAATTACGAAAACATCTTGGTAAAACTGTAAATGGTAATGTTCATGTAGCTAATGATTTGATTTATCAATACACCGATGAAAATGGTTTTGTTTTGCCAAACTTTGCTGATCAAAATGTTGTATTTAATAGAGTTACTACACCTTACACTATATCTCAATGTGTGAGTTATCTAAATGATAATAAGAATTTAGCTTCAATATCTAAATTATGTCATACACAGATGGAAGAACAATTAAATTACCTAGTTGATGTCAATAATAATGATAATGTTTTTCATATCAAGAAAGGTAGAAGTAAGTGTGGAAATCTACAATTGTTATTAAATTTTAATGACGATAAACCTCATGAATGTGAATGGGTCAATATAGACCAATCTCCAGATTTAATTGACATAACTGAGAAATTACTTAGTAATAATAATCTTAGGATTACAGGAAAATTGAGTAAATATTAAAATGTGATTTAATAATGTTCTCATTGCATGTTTATACAAAATTGTTATTAATACAATTCTCTTGTTGTTAGTATACCTTGTAATGTATGTATTTTCAATCCTAATTCACATTCATTGTGATGTTCAAAACTATAGTTGAGATTGTATTTGAATTTTAGGAATAATTAACGCATGTTTGTTTATAAGATACCTCTGCATAAAGGTTTGAGCAGTACTCAACAATTTAAGAATTTTAAGAAACATGTAAAATTCCACTGACAATTTGATATTTTAAATGTTCAACTTTCATGTTTTTAAGCATTTTATTTGCTTGTAGTGAAGTATGATAGTGTGTGTATGCTATAATTTTGCTTCATGGTATAAGTTAACGTTTCATTTCTAAATTTTAATTCCTTACCGGAGTTTTTGTTTGAGACCGGGGGATGTCATATACTCCCTTTACTAAAACCAACTTATTCATATTATTAAGGAATAGTGGTCTGAAGCCTTCTTGAGTTCTTTGTGTTAATAGAGTTACTTCCCTTGATTAATAAAAGGCTTTGATCCTAGATGGAATTCTGGGATGGAGTGAAATGGAAGATGGCTGTTTTTAATTAGCTCTTCTGATTGTCATAAACAATCCAGGCCATCTTGTGGCCTATACACCCCAATACCACACTACTAGGTGAGGCCTTGGCAGTGTTCGATCATGCGCATATATCACTAAGGCTAAGCAGAGATACGCAATTTGATTGAATTGGACTTTGGAAAACGATAACTTTGGTTCTAATTGGGTGAGAGTGATGACACTCAGAGTATAGATTCATTATATCAAGTTCGATGACGAGAATTTTCTGCTTAGGCTAAAGAGTGATAAGCAATTTGATTGATCAAGACTTTGATACATAACAACTCTTATTTTTATTGAAGTAGAATGTTCAAACTTGGTGCAGATGTTAATTAGGTGAATGTCTTGAATGTGTCAATTATTAACATTTTTCGCTAAAGCTAAGCAATTTTAATGGTCGATGCTTTGGGACAAAATAACTTTGATTCTACCTTATGGAGAGTGATGAAACGTAGTGTAGAGTTTCACTACTGCGGGTAATTCAAAATCTTGACTGAGTTCGATCCTCGACATTTTCTGCTTAGACTAAGTATAGATATTCAGTTTTATTGCCCGATACTTTTCAAAAAAATATATGTGCAATTAGTTAATATGTGTCATCTATTTATTTTTGGATTTCAGCGGGGGGACACCAACCTCACCGTTGACTTGTTTAGTTTCTGTTTCGGGTAGTTGTTATATGTGTCAGTGATTACGCCAAAGACAGCGACCGGTTAAATGTTGTTATTCGAAATAAACCGTAGATATAGGTTGCTAGTTGCTATCTGACTTCCACAACGACACACAAACTATAAAGGTCATCGCTAAGTAGCCTATCAACCGCTGCTTAATATTACCTCAGTGCCACAGCCCTTAGTGTATTCACAGAAGGCTGATACGGGGAATTGCCAAATTAAAACATCAAGAGTTGCAGGTTAATCCTGGAGGTGTGTAAAACTACAAATATATATCTATGAATTATGTTTAAAATGATGTGACACTAATATTTACCATACTGTAATAGTACACCGTGTAATCTCCATTCTCTTAATTAAATATATATGGTGTCTTGTTAGAGACGGTAAATATCTCTCTGTTACGTTATAATGTTAAAGGTTGGCGACTAAACTAAGACGTCCAGGGGCTGTAATAGGGCCTCCCGATTTGGGGAGTGGCATAGTTCTGTGTTGCACTACCATTTCCGGTTTGACGAAATTTCGATCAGGAAGCGTTCCTCGCAGGTAGGCAGCGAGTGTTATATAACGGGGAGGATTTACTTTTGTGACCAAGAATATTCGGATGTTGAAGGTAGATTTATTGACTAATGTATTCATGCAAAATATTATCTACAGTATCTTTGTAGGACAGACTAAGGTAGTAATCTAAATATATAAGATATTGATATACCAACTTCTGGTTTTATTGCCACACTACCTATCCGAACAAAAACAGGTTGTTAAATATCCTTGCAATTTAATATAAGCTTTCTCTAACTAGAACACCCGGTATCATTTCTCATTTAAGATGATTTCCTGTATATTTTTGTATTAAAACAATAATTCTAGTATTTTGTATTAAAACAATAATTCTGGCAATTTCCACCAGATATCCAAGTGATATAATTGCTTATTTTCAGAGCGCAGTGGAGAAAATGGATGCCAATTTTTGGGTCACTGTAACATTTAGTGTAACTAGTCTTCTGACTATTGTATCTGTGGTTTACCACCCTGTTATAATATCTATCATAGTGATTATTGGTATTTGTATATCAAGATATTGGAGGACATTTTTTAGATCTAGAGTGGTCTGTAAAAACAAATTTATTGCCATAACCGGGTGTGATTCAGGTAAGAGAATATAATAATAACATAGAGCAATATAACAATTCTTGCAGACAATAATGAAAACAATCTATAAATGAAATGGGGTTTAGCGTCCTACTGTTCTGTTTCGACGGCCTAATGAAGACGGGCATACGCTATACAGTGTGCTGTAAGGGATATTTTGCAAAAACAACAGCGATTCGGCCTAATACCGAATTCCAACTGACCCGGTTTGTTTTTACATTCACGCCAATTTGTACACGGGACCTCGGGGTTCCGTCCCATCCGAACGACTAAGACAATCAATAAATAAGTTCCTGGTATAATCATAATAATAAGGAAAAAATCAATCAGGGGTGGGAATGGCATGAAAAAGATTGGAATAATTCCATTCAATTCCAGTAGATTTTATATGTTTATTTGTTTTGTCGAATGGCGCTCTCTCTTCGTTAAAAAATTTACATCTATCGATAATGCCGGTGATCAGATATAACCTATTTTGTTTTTCAATGTCGACTCAGTAAGCCAAAAATGACACTAAACTCAGTCTTTAGAAAATAAAATTTAATCAATTCAGCATTTTACTTTTACCCGAGTCAACCAGATTTTGGCGCCTTTACCACTGTAATGTAAACTTCTAATGTAAGTCTTCTAATTGTGACAAGTCTTTGAGTATTACTGAAACAATTTCGTTTTACATTGAAGGTTTTGGATATGGCCTTGCTCAATTCTTAGATAGGGCAAGTTGTACAGTGATCGCTGGTTGTTTATACCCAGATAAAGATGGAGCACAAAATTTAAAGCGATGTTGTTCAGAGAAACTGTGTATTATAGAACTGGATGTAACATCAAATCAATCTGTTAAATCATACTTTGATAATGTTCAAAGTATATGTGGGAACAATGGTAGGTATCATTAATACGCCACCCGATTAGATTTTATTACATACTTCGAGAAGTTATTTGTTGAGTAATAAAACCTTCTAGTAGTTTATCGAGGGCTGGCCGTCCTTACCGCACGGTACAAATAAAACCTTCTAGTAGTTTATCGAGGTTCGGGTGTTTCCGGAGTCCAAAATGGCCGCTTTATATAAATAAGAATTTTGGGGATAACTAACCCGAACCCTAACCCTAACCCTTTTTAAAAGACTGAATTTGGGTCTAATTTAGATTTTACTTCTCTTAAAAGGGTTAGGTTAAAGAATTTGGGGGGAGAGGTTAAGTCTCCACATAAGCACTGACCTAGAGTAGTTAGGGGGCCTATATAGGGACGCACGTGCTGCGCATGCGCGCACGTGACCTTGACCTTGCAGGTGCGTGACCTTGCACTGAATGACCCCGTGACCTAGTTCGTCATGACCTTGCACTGAGTGACCCCGTGACCTAGTTCGTCATGACCTTGTACTGAATGACCCCGTGACCTAATTCGTCATGACCTTGCACTGAGTGACCCCTTGCACGTGCAGTGACCTAGTTTGAGAAAGAGAGGGCGCGCGCGCGCGGGAAGAGAGAGAGAGAGAGAGAGAGAGAGAGAGAGAGGGAGAGAGAGCAGAAGAAGAAGAAGAAGAAGAAGAGAGCAGAAGGGAGAAGAAGGGGAGAGGAGGGGAAGGAAGACCAAAAGAAGGGGAGAGAACTCTTTTACATTGATTAAGTTGGCCCTGAAAAGGGCCGTTGGCCTCACTAGAACGTGAGGGTGCGACGCACTTTATGTCGGTTGCGTCTGATGGTCTCCACTAATTCGGGAGGGGGTCTTTTCCTGGGAGGTGTTTTTAATACCTCGTCAGGTAAGACAAAGATATCGTCAGGGGTAATCACGGCAAGAGTATTCCCTCTGAGATACAAGAGCGTATCTACGTTGAGGTTTTCCTCGAGGCGAATGATGGGATCGCGTCAGCCATTCTGATACTGAGAGAGGGATGGTCCGTCGTTTTATTACCGTAAGGACGAATCCATTTGACGGACGAGTCCATTCGTGTAGTGACGTCATAGGACGAATCCATTTGAGGGTATGACGTCACAGACGAGTCCATGCATAGAGCGACGTCACAGCGCCTAGCATAACGTGATGCAACGTTATACATCGTAGATTGTACGTTGGAGGCTAAATATAGACGTGATGTAACGTTATACAACGCATGTGCAACGTTATGTCACGTGGGGTGTACGATATCGAACGTTTGATGACGTCACGGCATATGGGGGATAAAAGGGAGAGACGCGATAGGTTTGAACACTTTCACGCTATCATCGAGCCGCGCAAGATGAGTTTTTCATTACGACCCGTCGATAGAAGATACAGTAGATTGTTCCGAACCGAATCGTTATGTGTGGACATAGACTTTTTGGAGGATTGGTCCCACGTTCCGACCATAGATGTACCACAGCAATTACACGACACCTTTGAGGCCATCATTGAGGAAATTCGTCGAACCTTGGACGCTAGAGAAAGTGACTATGTTAGAATCGCCATCAGTCACCCAGGGCTCAAATCACCTATTTGGTTACCGTTTCGTGAGCATCGTTTGTTAAAAGCCGAAGACCTTTTACAGAAAGTGGCTGCCGTATTACAGAGTAATGAAGAATTTCGACTGGATCAGCGCATGTCTATGAATATATGTCACGTGACCCTTCCGGATGGCAGAGGTAGCGGAACAAACGTGAAGAAGAGACACAGTGCTAATTTCGACGAGTATTTGAAGAAAAAGAGATGCCTCGTCACCATCAAGAATGCCGACGAATTATGTTTTCAGCGAGCTATTGTCGTCGCTCGTCACTATGCCAACAAACAGGACACGCCTGAATGGGAAAGAGAAAGGAACAGATTACAGAGGAGGGCAGGACCCCAATCGTGGCAGACGAAGAAAACGGAAGCTCTCATCGAGGCCGTGGGTGGCACCAGGGAAGCTTGCACGGGGATGGAAACGTGGGAACTGTATGCCAAGTATTTGGGCCAACAAGGATACCAACTCAACGTTTTCTCTCAAGTCATCTTTGGTAAGGCGATCTATCGCGGAACAAAATACGTCAACGGAACACCAAAACATCTGAACCTGTATTTACACAGCAGACATTATGACGTCATTACCTCCATGCCCGCCTTTGTGGAAAGGTCGTATTTTTGTGAGACCTGTCAGGTGGGATACAATGGTATCGAGAAACATTCGTGTCACGTCATGTGCCAAGGTTGTAAGAAAGTAGGTCCAGCCTGTCCACCCGATCCCAATACAAAGACGTGTTACCGATGTCATCGTGTGTTTATGAGCCGGCAGTGTTTCGACAACCATCTCGCTACCCGTTCCAGAGCCAGCTGTAGTGTATGTCATCGGTGGAAGAAATGTGAAAAATGTCAAAAGGAGTGGGACGTCATCAAAGCCAAGCGAAATTTGGAAGAACACCGATGCGGAGAATACCAGTGCTCCATCTGCCGAGAGTGGCACACGGCCGCAAAACAGTTTTGTTACATTCAACCGCTGAAATCACCCATCGACATGAATGAAGACAGAAAGACCCAAATCGACAAACAGCAGAAAGCAACGCTGACCCGCTTTGTCTTCTTTGACTTTGAATGCCAGCAAGATTCCGGTGAGCACATACCCAACTTATGTGTCCTGCAAACCTGTTGTCACTTTTGCCTCGATAATCAAGAACCCTGCGAGCACTGCGACATGTACTGGAATCACCAACGGGAAATTGTTTTTAAAGGTCAAGACACGCTGGACGATGTGGGAAAATGGTTTTTGCAACTCGCTGCTCACGGTACGGTGGTAGATGGTCGGAAACATGACAGTCACGAATCGAGTCCCGTGATCGCCGTGGCGCACAATTTCAAAGGTTACGACGGACTGCTGATTTTACAGACGCTGCACAAACATTCCGTGGCGCAACCCGAAGTAATTATGAACGGGGGTAAAGCGATGACGATCACTGTCGGTACGGTAAAATTCATCGATTCCCTCAACTTTTTACCGATGGCTTTACGGGACATGCCCAAGACTTTTGGCCTGCAAGAACTCAAGAAAGGTTACTTCCCTCACCACTTTAACAGACCGGAGAATGAAGATTACGTGGGCGCCTATCCTCCCGACACCGATTACGATCCAGATGGTATGAGTGTATCGGAACGAGAGAAGTTTCACGAGTGGTACGAACAACACAGTCACGACGTCTTTGATTTTCGTCAGGAAATTTTGGCTTACTGCCGCAGCGATGTAGATGTCTTGCGCCGATGTTGTGGTGTATTTCGCGAGATATTTCTCATGGACACGGGCATCGATCCCTTCGAAAAAAGCCTGACCCTGGCCTCTGCCTGCAGTCGCGTACTACGCACACACTACCTGAAGAAAGACACCCTCGTCGTCATTCCTCGAGCCCTGATGCAAGAACCGAAACCGGGTCAAGACTGGCATCGCTTCCAGCCTCGACAACAGTCCAACAAAGCCCTTCGATGGTTGGAATGGGAACAACATCGACAGACCATGGCCGCTTTCCGAAACCAGACCCCACTACCCAACATTCGACACGCCCGCAACGGTAGTGAATGCCGAGTCGGCCCTTACAGTTTGGATGGTATGGACACGACCACCGGTACAGTGTACGAATTTCACGGGTGTGCCTTTCACGGTTGTCCCAAATGTTTTCCGGGCCCCGTCCAAGACGTTCAACACAAACATCCCTACGACCCCTCTCGTAGTATGAGAGACTTGTACCAGAAGACCCAAGAACGTCACCGCCGACTCCAGGAACAGTACGGTAGGTATGCAGACCATCCGTGTCATGTGGGAGTGTGGGATGGAGGAAGAACGACGCCAAGATCCCGAGATGAACGAATTTCTGAGCGGATTGGAAGATCAGCAATGGCCGGCCCCCGAACCTTTGTTGCCCCGTAACGCTTTCTTCGGCGGGAGAACCAATGCCATTCAACTGATGGTCAACGAGTCGGCCGAAGACATGCGCTACATCGACGTGGTGTCTCTCTACCCCTACATTTGCAAGTACGGTACGTTTCCCATCAAGGAACCCACGATCGTCACACAACCCGATCAAGACCAGTGGCAGCAGTACGAAGGGTTGATCCAGTGTTCGGTTTTGCCGCCTCGTGGCCTGTACCACCCGGTGCTTCCTTTTCGACGCAAACAGAAATTGGTGTTTGCCCTGTGTCGAAGCTGCGTCGACGAACACATGCAACAAGGAGAGATTGCCGAATACCAACCTTGTGATCACACCGATGAACAGCGAGCCTGGGTGGGTACGTTTGTCACCCTAGAACTGAAGAAAGCGGTGGCCCTGGGATGCCAAGTATTGAAAGTGTACGAAGTCTGGCACTGGAATGAATTCAGCACCTACGATCCCGAGGCCAAAACAGGAGGTTTATTTACTGGGTACATCAATCACTACCTAAAGAAGAAGATGGAAAGTAGCGGTTATCCCGACACTTGTCACACCGAAGAAGATAAGACCCGCTTCGTGAACGACGTGTACGACACCGAAGGTATTCGCCTGGATCCCGCCTCCATAAAACCCAACAAAGGTATGCGGGCGTTTAGTAAGCTCCAATTGAACACAGCGTGGGGGAAATTCGGACAGAGAGACAACTTTCCCAAGACCGAATACATCACGGAGCCCAGCGACTATTTCGAGAAAATGTTGGACGTGACCCAGACCGTGCGAGATGTCCAGTTGGTCAACGACAATATGGTATTGGTGGAAACACTGAAAAAAGATGAACACGTCGCACCCTGTCCCATCACCAACGTAGTGATCGCGGCCTTTGTCACCGCCCAGGCCCGCTTGAAACTCTATTCCGTCTTGGAAAAGTTGGGAGAACGTGTTTGTTATTTTGACACGGACAGCGTCATCTACCAATATCACTCCACCTCATGGAATCCCCCGGAAGGTTCGAGTTTGGG